ACCGGCACATCCGAGTTGTTCAGTGGTATCAATTGCCCTGGTCATTGCACGGGGGCAGAAGCAGCCGGGGGCAAGGGGGCTGAAACATTCGCACTTGGCAATAAATTATTTCACAGTCCTGATTTTCTTTTACTGCGCTGATAGGGACTTTCGTTTTATGGGAAAGCTACATGGGGCTGCACGATGGGGCATGGTGCTCTGGTTCTGAATTGGCAAGATTTGGTTGGGTTTGAATAGGAAAAAAAAAACAACCCTTGGACTTTATTTTTTTTTGGTTAAAGAATTAAATCGCCTGTGATTTTAGCTCAGTCTTTGAGTGGGGGTAGTCTCTGTAGTATTTGTTTGAGAAATACAATATTTGCCTTTGCAAGCAAATGGCGTTGTCGTATTTGAGTTATTTTGTGTTGTTTCCATTACCGTCAGCGAGGACTTTTCTTCTCAGTGGTTCTCGAAGTCTGCTTTTCCCCTGAGGTCTCCTTTGATATGAGTATTCTTTTGGGATCTGTTGTATACCAATTGTGTGTTTTTCTAAGCTAATGTCTCCATGTTGATGCAGGCACTGAAAAAATTCACCAACATAGGAAAGTAATATTACTATTAAAAAAACCCCCATCCATTATGCTCCCTCCCATATGTTTTAATGGTAATCTGCTTCTCTGAAATCCCCTCAAAATCCATCTCAGTATCTGGATTCCTTCAGTCACGTTTTTCTGCTATCTTTGTATCTTCCTAGAGACAAATTCAGAAATTGAGATTTTTTTAAATACGCCATTGCACTGACATCTTTTTCTTCCTGTGTCTGCCTGGCTTGAGGAATAAAACTCTTGGGCATAGTGTATTTTGCACCATGATTTTGGCCATTGATTCTAAACAGAGAATGATGCCAGTCAAGGGAAAATGATTTTTCATTTTGCTAAGACTAAATTAATATTTGGTCTGCATTTTTCTTAGTAGAGGCATTTAAGCTTTGCACGCTAGTAACTGCTGTTGAGCATCTGTCAAATGGCTGGGTCAGAGCTCTTGGAAACCGAAGGTGAACGTTCCATGGTGATGATTGTAACGCATCCCGCAAAGCAGCTCCGCAGGCTTTGGAAACGCGCGGTGAGCGTGTCCCTGCGACGTCAGCAGCAGGGTGCGAAGTGCCCAGGGGTGTCGGGGTGCCCACGCGGCGGGAGGGCAGGTCGCCCAGCCCTGCCGACTCTTTGGCCAACCTTGGGGGCCGAAGCTTTGCTGGGGAGCAGACTGCAGGCGGGGGAGGCGAGCAGCTCCCGGGGAGCCCCAGTGCTGCACAGCGGGATGGGGCTGGGCTGGGCTGGACTCGCCGGAGTCCATCATCTCTCCAGTGTGAGAGCCTGGTGGGGAGGGACCTTCCTGGTGTCCGCAGGTGGGCTAGGAGCTGAGCCCGGCAGCTCTTCTCCCAGGAACGCGAGCAGCAGCTCATCCTTCCCCACTCCAAAGGAGAGCGCCTTTGAGTCTGCCTCTCCTTTAGGGTGAACTCCTGGCTCCAGTAAAGCCAGTGGTAGAATTGGCTTTGGCAGAGGCGGAATTTTTGTTCCTGGGGTTTAGCAGCTCTCTGCATGGCAATAGTCTTGCCAGGGGACAGTTTAGCTCTAAGGAAGGCTTTTATTCTTTCACATAATCTGCAAAGACATCTGTAATTACTGCTGGTAACTAAGGCAACCCAACTTTATAGTTGATGCATGCATGCAGCAGAGCCACAGCGACGGGCGTTTGAGATGCCCTTGTGTTGGTCGGCGTGCGGCCGCGCTCGGGCAGGAGCTGCGCTGCGGGCAGCTTGAGCCGAGCCCTGCCTGGAGAGGAGGAACGCGGTGTAGATAGGGTTGTGATTGCTTCGTGGGCTTAACTGGGGACTCTTGAATCAGGGTCGGTTTCTTCTGCTTGGGGACAGCATTGAGAGGCCAGGCAGGAGGTGGCGGTGGGGTTGGCACTCTGCAAGTAAGAGCCTCTGCTTATTTTAGGAGAACCCTGCTGTGTCCGTAACGAGGATGTTCATCTGGCCCAGGGAAATTAAATCATTTGCCCATTCGCTCGGTGCACAGCCTCGGTTAGCCCAGGAATAGAACAAATTGCTCCTGGCAGCCGGCTTGCGAGCCCCGCTGGTGTGGCAGGACATCAGCCACGCAAGGTGAAGATGCTGGGGGCAAAGTCCCTGCGGTCACGGGGTGCGGGAGCTGCTGCACGCCCGGGCGGTCTCAGCCAGCACCTTTGGTCAGAGGACTCTGTTCCTCCTTTGCTTTGCTCCATTAATATAACAACGGTGTAATAAGTGTAACAGTTCTTAGCGTCGTAGGGAAAAACCCCTCAGGAAAGGGCAATGCACTGCGCTGTTCCGCTCGGCGCAGGGGTAGCGTCTGCTCTGTGGCAGGCTGCGTTTGCTTGGAGCCTTTAGGTTCTTGCATTTTTACGTTGGAAATGTGTCGGCAATCTCTGAGAGTGCCTGCATGGGGGTGTGAAATCTTTCTCCCAGATAAAATCATCCTCTGTGCATTACTGGAACGCAGTTCTGTGGAAGCTGAGTCAGTCTCAAAGATGAGTTAAAGGCCCTTGGCCATTAATTTTTTAAATGTGTTTTTTATATGAGTCACTTGGAAAAACTTTAAATAGCTTATCTTGATTTTTTTGAAACAAGTTTTTAAGCAGACAATCTGGAGTATTTTCTTACAGTGAGCCTTTGGCAAAATGTGAAATCCACCCCGGCCAGTAAAGCTGAGGAGGCCTTTTAGGATGCTTTTTAAAAAGTTACTTTTGATGCTTTTTAGGAGGAACCAATTGATCTCTCTCAAAAATTCTGAAGCAAAGTTTTTGCTTTTAAAATACACAGGCAGGTGTTGGTGGGGTTGAGGCTTTATGAAGGCTTGTTGATCTGACGTTTGCTTTGGTGTTCGGTGAAACTTGCCGTGTCCTTTGAACTGTATCTCCTGCCAGTGGAAGGGTTTGAAAATGATGGATCCTTGGTCTCCGAGTGCGAATAAATAAATCGCAGCCGTGTGCTTTTTCTTATTAAAGCTGCCTCGTGATTTTTGAGAGCATCGCTTGATTTTGGACCCCGCGCGGTCTGTCTGACGATGACCGAAGCAGTGTCCCGCCCTAGGAGCGATGGGCACAGCCGCCCCTGCCCACCGCCTCTCAGTTTCGCTTTCTTTTTTTCTTTTTAATGTAATTTCTTTGTTTGGTTGTTTGGTTTGTTTGCTTCCTGTAGGTGTTTCAGCTTTGCAGACTGACAGCTGGGTCCCAGTCCCTTGAATACCGAACCAGAGGTACTCTGCTTCCCCTTTGCTGCCTCTTGACCCAGCCGTCCTAAGCGAGTTGGGTGAGGACTGTGGCGCAGCCTGGGGAGTTGTGTCCCTCTTCGGGGACAAGGGCTGAGTGATGCTGTGCTCAGCCTCGTGGCTTCGCTTGCGACTGAAACTATTTCACTTGCTCGGCAAAGTGAAGGAATTGGACTTGGCTGGTTTTTGGTGTTAACCCCTGTCTCAGGCACAGAGCTGGAGGCCGCCCAGTACGCAGGCGTGCGTTGGGGCTGGGTGCAGCTGGGCTGCTGTTCAGCCTCTTGTTTGTCGAAGAAGGACAACGCAGCCCATTGAGGGCGGCTTGAGGGGGGCAAAGAGCTTCGTGGGGTCTTGGGTGTTGGTAAGAGCCACTGGTCAGGAGCAGGCAACGGGGAGGGTGCGATGTTCAGCAAGGGGCTGTAAATTGTGAATAATTGGGTTTTTCAAAGAAAAAGTCCCTGAGTGTGAGTAGAGGTGTGTATAGACATAGGGGTGCATCCGTACGCACCTTAGCAGAGGCTGGCAGGCTGTTCTGGGGAAGGATCCCTCCACGCTTCCCTAGCTTTGTACCCTTCCTCAGACATCAGTCATCATCTGATCACCGGCAGAGTCAGGGTGCTGGGCTGCCCAGACCCTTGGTTTAACCCGATTCAGCCTTTTTTATCGGGATACAGCCCAACAAAGGATGGTGGCAGGGGGGAGGGGACAAACGCGAAGCTGAGGTGGTCCCCAGGCTGGTGCCTGGTGGCGATGGGGTCACCGCTGGAGGTCTGCCGTTCGCTTGGGCTTGGCTTTCGGTGTGGACAGCCTTGCTCGATTTCTCTCATTTGCCTGCTGGCAGGGCTGAGGGGTGAGCCCCGGGTGCAAGCAGAGCAGGGACCTGCCTCTATGCGCTGCCTTTTTCAGAGGTGGAAACCTTTAGCGCCGAGTGATTTCCCACGCTTCCAGATCAGGGAGGTATTGACCTGGTGTCAATTCTGTGCAAAGAGCCGATGCAATGAGGACGTGGATGTGCCTTAGGCACCTGTTGGCCTGGTTAAACATAGCACGTAACAGGGTGCATCTGGTGTGACATTACCTATAGAGCTGGTGGCCCTGGTAGGAAGGTCTGGTTTGATAGTTCTTTCTCTACGTTTCAGTGGCACTAAATAGACCTATTTGTAAAATGGAAATGGGATGCGGCCTCTGTAAAGCTGATGCTTTGGAAGCTGTGCAGGGAGTTTTAATGGTCTTTTTCTACTGGCCTCTATAGAAGAAGATACAAGTCATGTATTGTAGGCTTGCGTCTTTCAGACGGGACGTTGAAAACGAAACTTCTCTTTCTCTGGATGGATGTTGAAGTATCCATGGTACTCTCGTAGTTCCCAGTGCTGCAGTCTATTTCTATTCAGTGAAGCAATTATGTTCTGGCTTGAATTTCAACTTACACTGCTTTCCTGGCCTGAAGCCTGTAAGGCTGGGCTTTGTCCTCGAGTGTTTGGCACTTTTTCCTTTTCTTCCCCTCTGACTGAAACGTGGGCTGGGTTGGCTTTCAACATCCATGCAGAATTAGCTGCATTCTGCGATGCTCTTCCTGCGGTGAACCTGAGCCGACTAACAAATGTGCAAGTAACTCCATGCATAATACCCTGTGCTGCAGTTTTGTGATACTTATTTTTTAAAGTGTCATTGAATCAAACTTTCTACTCCTTTTTTTCTCCCCGTTTTTAGCATTAAGCAGAGTTCCCGCTCCTCTGAGGCAGCTGAAGATGAAAAGGACCAGCGCACAGTGACAGTCAACCCCTCTCACATGAGAAAGGCGTTCAAGGTCATGAATGAATTACGGAGGTACACTTCTGACTTAACGGGCACCCTCTCTGGTTTAGCAGAAACGTGCTGATTGGAACAGAAAGGCTTCTGGGAGACTTAAGAAAAAAACCCCAAAGTGCCATCTTTGCCACAGCTAACGGTTGCACGTAGGGTATTAATGAGCAAGTAGGAGGAGACAGCTAAAATACAGCCCTTATGTGGTGGGTTGCTCTTCCCAATCTCAGACCTCTCTATCTTCCCAGCAGAAGGAAGCCAGCTACGGCTCAAAAACGTTGTCTGAGCAATCGCCTTCATTTACAGATGATAATTCATTTAGTCTTTTCCATCACTTACAGCAACTTCAGCCGTAAACTATGTTCTTAACTGAGCTAATGGTCTGAAAACCAATAATAGAACATTACAGGCATTAAGACACCTACGCATAATTACAGACCAAAGATTATTAATGTACTGTTCTTATTCTCTTTAACTAATGGTGTCGCTCAGTCGGGGCTCAGCCCTCCAAAGTAGGGGGGTGAAAAAAAAGCAACAACTCGGGAAGAATGTCAGCACTCTGCTTGCACATTCAAAAGTCCTGATACTGGTCAGAAGAGCACACCTTGCTCCCTACACAGCTGCGTGGGTACAGGGAGAACGGAGGCTGAAAAACTGCCAGCCGACACAGCCTGCAGGAGCCGCTGCCATCCCACCGGCGATGCGGCGGCAGTGCTCAAACCCCAGTTGTTTTCGTGGTGGTTGTTATCCCACGAGCCAGAGAGAAGTTCAGCGAGTGTTTCTCCGACTCATTCATTTGAGTCCTTTACCATTCACAGAGAGGCTTAGAAACCCAATTTTTAAAGTAATTCCTCTGGAAAGTACATACGTGGTACACGTGAATGTGTGGGCTCCCTCGCTACCCAGGCGGTGTGATGGAAGCAGACAGCACCCTTTACTCTTCCTGCACCCTCAAAGTACTTGGAAGGTGCCGTAATGCTGTAATAGCCACCTCTCTTCCATGGATTAAGTAGTTTTCCCATATACACATTCTCTGGTGTGGAGAGGGATTAGAAATGCCTCCTTCCACAGATGTCTGACAGCAATTCGCAGTTGCACAGGAACAGAAAATGGAAATATCCTTCCCTTGTAACGATTCCATGAAGTGGAGTATGGGTGGGTTTTTTTTATTGGCATCCCTCTAGTCCTTTCTTTGTACTGAAAGCAAAGGATCTGAAAGTAGAGGTTTGTGCAGCTATATTCAGAAATCTATTGTGCTACTGTTGTTCTGCTGTTAATTGAGGCATAGTGGGAATAGCTGGAGATGGACGATGTTTCTCAGTGCCTGTAGTTAAGCTAGATCCCGAGCAATACTGCAGTGACAAAGCCTGGAAGACTGAAAGACGCCCTGCAGCACCTGCCTGAGGATTTCTTCTTCTGGGCACTCCTTTTTGTCAGCTCCTGCTGCTGTTCTGGAATACGCCGTTCTCAGGTCTATTGTACGTGCATTGGGCTGGCAATCCGTTAAGCCGTCAACAATCGGCGTTAATAGCTCCCGTGAGTGCTAGTGCCTCCAGTCACGTGCTCCCAGAAATCTCATACAGAGGGTCTGGAAAAATCTTGCTAAGCCTTTAACCTGTTTGCTATATGTTGCTCCCTTGAAATTTTTAGCTTTCGAATGCAGATGAAATTACGAGCGGTACTTTAGAAAACTATAGTCCCGAGAGGAGCTGAACAGAGCACCTTTTACATGAGCTGAAGGAAATGAGGAAGCCTCCATCAAGAGGCTGTTAAAAAGCTTCCCTCGTTTCCATCACCCCTTCCAAACAGGGGTGAATGTAGAGCACAGACTACCAGTTCCTACTTTCTTCCTGTTTTCCAACTATAAACCCCCCTTTCACAGATGTTTTGTTCACATATTCCAGCATACGGAGAAGAGGAGGCATGCCTCCTCCATTAGAAGCTCTCTGTGTGTTTATTTGATATGCAGTTTCCTAAAGACAAAGTGCAGCGTGGTGATAAGCAATTCTGAAGAGAAGGTGACATCTAGATTTACAGAGGCTGATCTTTTTTCAAGCTTGACATTTGGAAAGAACACCCTTATTTTGCATTTGTATGCTTAAACATCTTAAACCAACTTATTGGGAGGCTGAGCACTTCTAGCTGTCTGCATCTCCGGAGCCCTGTGCAAACATTAACTAATGAATCCTCCGAGGACATACGTGGGGCTGGTAGAAAAGGTCACTCGTTAATGAAGTGACTTTTCCAAAGCTGTACGATGAGTCAGTGGGGGAGCTCAGAAGTTTTTTGGTTTCTCTTTGGAACCCCATGCTTTGTCCCAGTGACTCTTAATCCCAGACTGATTCATGTGGTAAACGAAATCCTCAGGCCCATGGATAAATACCAGTGACTGACATCATCTCACTGGGAGATGGCTGGGGCAGCCTCGGCGCTGCTCAGTGCCAGGAGATGTTTGGTGGTCACGTTCTGTAGGGCCAAATGTGGAAGGAAGTACAGAACTAGCATCATTTTCCACCCTACCTTCTCTCTGTGGAAAGCTCTGCTGGTGTTCCCTTGCATGGCTATTTCTTGTCTTACAGATCTGCTAGAGTTTGGCTCTAGAGTCGTGCCCAAACTCCTAAGCTCTTGCGTGCCTTTTCCAAGCCCTGCTTGTTGGAGAGGTGGAAGGAGCCCCTTACCCATCCCTTCTTTGGGCAGCATGTATGCCTAGTTTGGCTTCCAGATTTTTTTTTCCTGGGAAAAGCAGAACCACAGGCAGGGCGGGGCTGTAGCATTGGGAGGATTCAGGCTTTGCTTTGTAGGCAAACACTGGTAGGAACTGGTAGCTGAAGGGTTAGAGGACCTTCCACTGGGATTTGGCAGAAGCTCAGGTGCCTTGTCTGTAACGGCGGGTCTTCTGCCTGCTTTTTCAGGCTATACCGACGTAGCTTTTTGCCTGACCGCGAGTCAAGATCTTTGTCTTTTCTGGTGTTTTTCCAGCAAGCGGCTCCTCTGTGATGTGGTGATTGTGGCCGAAACTGTGGAGATGGAAGCCCACCGTGTGGTCCTTGCAGCCTGCAGCCCTTATTTTTGTGCGATGTTTACAGGTACTCTTCTTGACACCAGACACTGTACTTGGGTTGAACGGGCCATTGCAAGCCCAGAGGTTTCTGGTTGTGTCCCCGGCAGGAGCTGCAGCGGAGGCAGTAGGCATGGCCTGCGGGGAAGGGGTTTCCTTGAGAGGAGACGTGCGGCTAGGTCTGCAGTCTGCTACGCTTGGTGGATGGTGCTGGTCATCCTTGTCTAATGCCTTGAGGCACAGTCTATGGGTATGGGGTGGTTGTAGGGGTGTGGGATGGTTGTAGGGGTGTGGGGTGAGTGGGTGGCATATGAATCACAGGAAGGGTATTGGGAGGTTTGGCTCGCTGCTTTTTGGGTTGGTTTTTTTTACCCCTTAACAAGACCTTGGGTCATGAAAACACATCATTAACATCAAGCACGTGTGCAGTGCCCTAAATGTTCATGGTGCACATCAAAGAAGTTGCTGGCACAGGAGTTGTAGTTTCAAGGCTCAGCCCTGCCGATGCTGATTTGCAGTCACGGATGTTTAATCTCCCATGGCACTTTTTTGCTGCTGCCCGAAATAACACCCTTGTTCTCTCGATCCCAGTGTGTTTTAGCAGCCCTGCCTTTCTGCTGGCTGCGTTGCTGCAGCCCCGTGTATTTTGGTAATGGCAGATGCAAGCTCAGCGTGAAGGAAAGAAGAGGACAAAACTCATGCTGTGATCTCCTGATCCCTATAGCGCGGGCCCTTTGGAGGCTCTGCCCAGGTGGGGCAGCAGAAGAAAGCCGTGCCAATCCCAAGGCAAGGGAGCGACCGACTTGGTTAAGTCATTCTAGTAAAATTAGTCTGGTCAGGAGCTGCTGAGCTTCCTTTCCTTTTCCTTGCTGTCCTTCCCAGGATAGAAACTGGCTTAACCAAATACAAAGAACATGATTGTATACTCCAGGGAAGGGCTGTTACCGTCCCACAGCTTCAGAATAAATTTTGCCCCTATTTCATGTTCCTTTGCCTGTGGTCTATGGGTTGCTTCTTCCTTTTAGAAGCCTTGGTGTTAGACCTGGTTTTATTTGCTGTACTGGAAGCAGAACACCACATGTCTCAGGAAAAAGCTTGTCATTTGGGAAGCTTTTTTTCCCTTCTTCAATGGAGGGGGTGGGAAAAACCTCAGGTGTAAACAGATGTCTGAATGTGAGGCGAGACGTGGGGTTCGCCATGATGGCTTTACCAGTGTGGTGAGCTAAGGCGGAGAGCACTTGTGCTCTCTAGGGCCCTGGCGCTGCACGGTGGACGTGGGTGTTGGCCATGGCGGTGAGGAAGAGGAGCAAACCCTGCTCAGAGGCCACCACTTGTGCAGGGCACCTCGGGGAGGACTCGCGAGTGCTTGTGATGCTCGTTCCTGACGAGAAGTTTAAAAAAATCAAAAATCGTTGGAAAAACCCTCTGATCCTTAGAGGTCACCTGAGCGGGAAGGCGGTGGTGCAGGGCTGCTCATGTTTCCATGCAGGAATTCTCCGGGCCGTGTAATCCCTCACGCCGCGAGTTAAACAGTAATCAGCTAACCGCCGTCATGTGGCCGGCTCGGCAGCTCCCCTGGGTGGGTGACAGCCTCGGCGGGCGCCGCTCCCCTCCCCCTGGCACATCCCCAGGGGCAGCAGGTCAGGCAAAGACCAGTTCTCCCTTTGCCTTTGGTCCAGCTAGTCCCAAATTTCTGAAGTCTGGATCTGCCTCTTGCACAGACCTTGTGATCTCCTTCCAGCTCTGTGGTGCTTCACTCTCTGGAGGGGGAGATTTTACAGTCACAGCTTGAACATTGGTAACATTGGTTGGTGGTTGTGGCTTGGGTGGTTTGGTGTTTTGTGGTTTGGTTTGGTTTTTTTTTTGCATTCCCCATCAGCGATCAAAGCCAGTGGCTTGGGGGCAGCCGCACGGCATGGGTGTCTGCAGGACTCGGCGGGAGCTGCTTGTGCTCGCTGAGTCCCCACTGGAGGAGCCGCTTTCTGGGGGCACGGGGAGCAGGAGGGGTCCCCGGCAGCCACATGGTAGTGAATGACCAGGGTAAAGCTGTGAACAGCAGGAACCAAACGGAGGCCCACAGCTCATCCACCCTTGCCTGATGCTTGCTCTGCAGGCCCCGTCCCTGTAGGCTGGGCTTGCCTTTGGACTCATGGGTGACCTTGGGGTCTTCCCTAAACCACCTGGTGTCCTCTGGTTAGGCATTCCTCTTTGAGATAGCCTTGGGAAGTCTGAAAACATGCAGCCACATCTTAGAATCGTAGAATCATAGAATGTTTAGGGTTGGAAGGGACCACTAGTGGTCATCTAGTCCAACCCCCCTGCAGTGAGCAGGGACACTGCTGACTAGATCAGATTGCTCAGAGCCCCATCCAACCTGGCCTTGAATGTTCCCAGGGATGGGGCCTCCACTACCTCTCTGGGCAACCTGTTCCAGTGTTTTACCACCCTCAGTGTAAAAAATTTCTTCCTTACCTCTAGCCTGAACCTACCCTGTTCTAGTTTAAAACCATTTCCCCTTGTCCTAACACAGCTGGCCCTACTAAAAAGACGTTCCCCATCTTTCCTATAGGCCCTCTTTAGGTACTGGAAGGCCACAATCAGGTCTCCCCGTAGCCTTCTTTTCTCCAGACTGAATTGGTATCTTCCGCTGCTGGAGAAGAGATGGGACCCAGCACTTCCCACCTGAGTGTCCCTTCCCATACTGGCTTTCTAGAGCATTTTGGATGGTGGCTGGTCCTCGCTGGCACCGTCCTGTGGTGATGACTAGGGGCAGTAATTGCCATCCATTTAGAAGAAAACATAATAGTTCCAGAAAGGATAGCAGATATTTCAGCAGTGCTGCTAGGACTGCTCCTGTGAGATACGGGGGGAACTTTGGAAGTGCTGGAGGAGGAAGCAGCAATGCAGAAACCTCCCTTGCAGGTCTCGCGTGCCGCCTCAGAGCGCTCGCCCCACGCCCGAGAGGCTGCGGTTTTGTTACCCGATGCACTCGTGTTCTCCTTCAGCACATCTCTGACTCGGGAAAGAACAAAAGCTGGAGCTGTGCGCTGGGAAGCCTCTCTGGCGTGCGGTACGTAGGCGGCAGGGCAAGCGGCTCTGCTGGGTAAGTGGGGCACGGCGAGCTGCTGTGGCTCTGAACGTAGCTTTATCTCGTGACAAAGCAGGAGAGCTCTGCTCTCCCCCTGCCCTCGCGAGGAGGGGGAAACGGAGGAAGCACCGCTGGGTGTTGAGCGTCGACGCGCGAAGGGCTTGTCTTCACGAAGGACTGGTGCCTGCAGTGTCTGTCCCCTAAAGAGGGTCTGCTGGGAGCCTGCTTTACCTGCCTTTGCTTCCCCCTACCCGTGCCTCGTGCCTGCCCGACCGCGGCGGTGCGGGGACGGGGTCTGTGCAGCGCCTCCTGCAAGGCAGCCCTTTCTCACACTGCCCCGGGGTAGGAGAGACGATGCTGGTGCTTTGAATCATTCTGTAATTAAGGTATCGGGTAAGGCTCGGGTCTGGCTTGTGAAAGACATCCTAGGGGTTGGCTTTTGTAGGCTTGGAGGAGGGGGCAGCTCGTTGCCTGCTCCTGGTCTGCGCCAGCCCCTGCCCTGGTTCCCTTGCAGCATCTCCAGGTTCCCCCTCGCCCCGCAGCGCTGCAGCACCCTCTGGCAAGCGGTGGGCACACGACTGGCGC